GGGAAGGGGGCAGAGTAGGAGATGGGTAGGATGATGGGAAGGGGGCAGAGTAGGAGATGGGTAGGATGATGGGAAGGGGTGAAATAGGAAATGGATGGGATGATGGGGAGGGGTGGAGTAAGAGATGGGTAGGATAATGGAGGGGTGGAGTAGGATATGGATGGAAGGATAAGGTGGATGTGGGTTTGGAGATAGATGGGATTAAGGGTTGGAGTCAAAGTAGACATGGTGACATGGTAGATACGGGATGATGGGGTGGAATTATAGAGGATAGGATGATGGGGTTGGATACAAAGAGCAAAACTGTACTTTAGAGGAATTTTAATTATGCATCAAACTCACAAACGTGCTGCTTATGTAATCATTCAGGTCTAGTCTAACTGTACTGGACCCACATTCTATAGACATTCCTCTCTCCTGTAAAGAACTGTGAAGCCTTTTTACCTGTATCTCCCCTGTTGGTGGTCTTTGTTGATTCACTTTTAAACAACAGTCACCTTTCAACACAGTCTGCACACAGCATTAACTAGGTTTTTATTGCTTAGGTCTATAAAATATCTTGTACGTCTGTATTGCAGTCATATGTCAACCTATCTTGTAAATTTTTTTGATGAAGCTTGTTTAGTGTTTCTTGTTTAATTTAGTAACCATATTTGTATAACTTGGATGTCTCTTTCTTTCCTGTTATTACAGGAAAGAAATTCAAATTCAAAACAAGCAGTGAGCCATGCCGGCTTTGCCATTCTAGTTTCTTTTGAGATAGGATGCTAGTGACAAGCAACTCCCTTGCTTATGAGATATAGACATTCAGTAGTTGGAGGGATGCTTAGAAATGGATGTCCCATTACTGCCTTTGAAATCTGGATTTGATTTTCAGTAACAGCAAAAGTGAATTATATTCCTTTATTCTGCAGGCACCAAGGCCTCCTAAACAGCCCAATGTCCAAGATTTTCAATTCTTCCCTCCGAGGCTCTTTGAACTTCTGGACAAGGAGATTTATTCATACAGGAAGATGATTGGCTATAAGGTTTGTGGATCTTTTATGATTTTGTAAATTTCCCTCCAAGAAATATATGCACAATATACCAGAGCAAGACACAAATTTTGGTTCAATTTAATGAATCCCTGATCTATTATTATTTTCATTAAGTTAAGTTAAGGTAATGAAACCAAGGATTCTTCAAAAGCACCTTAGGTACTTTAGCATGCAAGCATGAAAAAATCTGTAGAGAGGAGACAGTGAGAAGCAGTTACAGTTTTAGAGGTGGGAGGAAAACCCCAGAAAAATGTTCTAAGTAAATACCTGTGGAATCAGGAAAGGACTGAAAAACCCAATCCACATGTGGACTGAACCAGGAATCAAACCCGGGCTACAGGGGCGGAAGGCAAGGAAAGAAGTTCTATGCCAACCTGACTCCCCAAAATGAAATAAATGGTGTTCTAATACAATAAAATCTTGGTTGTTTATTTGTGATTGTGAAGATTATAAATGAAGTTGGCTTTTTTTGGTAAGTACTAATCACAGTGGTTAAGGTCATACATTTTGATGTTTGAAAAGATCACAAGCCTTATCCAAAGATTAATTGAATGGAATAAATGAAATGGATTGTCATTGTGTGTGATTACTCTGTAGAATATTGTCAGCTTGCTTGACTGTCCAACTAAAATTAGTATTTGTACATTATGTGAAGCCATTGATGTTTCTTCTTATAATCTTGATTAAATTTGGATTGAATGATAGGTGCCCCTGAACCCTGAGGTTCCCCATCCAGCACAGGCTCGTAAGGAGGAACAGAGGAAGATTGATGAGGCCGAGCCATTGAATGAAGAGGAAATGCAAGAGAAGGAAGATTTGCTCACTCAGGTCAGGACTTTTGCCATAGTGCTTTGACATAAAATTTCCCTGTCCTCTGTTAGTCCAAGATTTGTCATACTTACCTGAATTGAAGTGACAGACTCTTGCACACTGACAGACTTGAAGTAGAAGATTTTGCTGTAAGGAGTTTCTACTACAAGAACTCCTGAACAGGGTTTCTTAGGGACTGAAACATCTTCCCAAGAGTGGGAATACTCTCTGACAGCTAAAACTGTGGTTGTATTGACAAATCCGAGTTCAAATTTTTAAATGTGTCCTTCCCCAGGGTTTCACCAATTGGTCCAAGCGTGACTTCAACCAGTTCATTAAAGCCTGTGAGAAGTATGGACGAGATGATGTGGACAACATCTCCAGGGATGTAGAGGGGAAGACACCTGAAGAGGTTAGTACAAACATCTATGCCTCAAGAGTCGTGACTGGAAGATTGACACCTTATTGATTGACAAATGTTGGGTACTGTCCTTGGTCATGTGTGATGAAATACACTGGATTCTGCTCACTAACTTGGGCTTTTAGGCCACAAAAGGAATACAACTCTTTTTATTTTATTTACTTTTGTTCATCCAACAACGTATTTACTGCCAATTACAGGATGAAGTGACAATCAAGAATACAATGAAGCAATGTTCAGTTTTATAGGTGGGAGGAAAGAGGAAAACCCCAGATATATATTCTGGAGAAAACCTACAGATTCAGGCAGGGACAATCCACATGCTGACCTCAGTTTGACTTAACCTGGGTCGCAGAGGTAGATGGCGAAGAAAGAGCCACTACACCAACCCGACTCCAACTCTTGTTGGAGGTGGGGAAGAAGTAGTAGAATCTTGACAAAGCTTCCCAGTTGATTTTTTTCATAATTATCTCCCAACTCTTGTCTTTAATTTGAATGACATTCCATTCTGTTTGACTCACAAAATTTGGATATCGCTGATCAACAGCTGAGCATCGTAATTCATTGATCAAGAGATCAACCACACATTTTTGTATTGCAAGAAGAAGATTGTTCGAGTTTTTATCACTGACAATGAAAAGCTACTTTGAGTGAGAGTAGACCTCACTCAAGCCATAGAGAGTTGATATTCATTGGTGGAATTCCAATCCAGGTGCAAGAATACATGGCTGTGTTCTGGGATCGTTGTCATGAGCTGACAGATATTGAAAAGATTATGGCACAGATAGAACGAGGAGAAGCCAAGATACAACGGAAGATCAGCATCAAGAAGGCCCTAGACTCCAAGGTAAAAGCGGTGATCTCTCAAACTGGTTTGTGACAGGGCATGCAAACAATTAGTAAATGAGCTGTTCAGAAACCAGAGAAATATAATAATTTGTACATTTACTACCGTGGCAAAGCCTGGTACAAAATTAATTGTTTTTTATATTTTGGTCTCTCGGTGGTTGGTTTGAAAAAATGGAACGGAATGGATTTGCTGTTGTGCTGTGCCTACTTAATGTATCAGATGATCTTTTAACCCCTTCACGCTGGGATTCTTTTGAGCATGACTGGTGGGCTGTGGTATGCCCAGTATGCAAAGCTCTGTCCAGCAGCAGGCCCCATTGAACCAGCAGCTGCATGGTGAATAGACTGTATGTGTGGTATGCACTAATGCTCACACAAAGCCGCAACTGTGGACGGCACCCGCTATAAAGGGGTTGAATGTGATAGAAACACATAAGTTGGTACTGTGAAACATACCAAACATGACTGTTTGTGAGTGCAATTGTAAGAATAACTTCTTGAGGTGACAGATCGATTTTTCAAACAGACTTCATCTGTCACTAAAAAAATCTGTTCTTTCCATTGCTCGAATATGAAACATTGTTTCAATACAGCGCCTTACTAAATCCTAAAATTCTCTGCATTTCTTAATCCCTGGATCACCAACAAGTTCATAAATTTCTTGGGATCACGGACTAGAACTTCTATTTTTGTGGTACATGCTGTTGGAATGAATAATTCAATGACAAGTGATCAGTGACCCACCAGTCAGATCACGTGGATTTATTCAGGTGGTGTTTGACAGAAAAATTACCAGCCTGGCCTTTTTGGTTCACCTTTCAGATGGCTAGGTACCGAGCTCCCTTCCACCAGTTGCGTCTCTCCTACGGTACCAATAAAGGCAAGAACTGGACAGAGGAAGAAGATCGCTTCTTGGTCTGCATGTTGCACAAGCTGGGTTTTGACAAGGAGAATGTCTACGATGAGCTGCGGACAGCTGTCCGACAGGCACCCCAGTTCAGATTTGATTGGTTTCTGAAGTCACGAACAGCTATGGTAAACCATTTTTTAATAAAATGTATAATAATGCTGGTATGTTGTGCAGCTGAAAGAGATGTATGTCATGTTAATAATTACTGCTTTGATATGGGTCTTTGAAAATATACTGGAGTTGGATTTGGCATCAAAAAATTGTTGACCCAATGCCTCAGGTAGGGACCAATCGAGAAGTGACCTTAATTCCTATCAATTTGATTTTGAAAATTTTACTTTCAGTCTTTTCAGACCATCTTTTTCATTTTAATTTAGGAGCTGCAAAGACGCTGCAACACACTGATCACATTGATTGAGCGTGAGAACCAAGAGTTGGAAGAGCGTGAGAAGGCCGAGAAAAAGAAACAGGTCAGGGCAAAAGGAGGCATGCCAACACCAAAGGTGAAAAAAATTAGGAGGGGGGTTCTAGCTACTTAGAGCTTGACTGTGCTAGCGGCACAGATCAATTTTCTGACAGTGAAATGCGGAAGAGTTTCATTGACATCAGTTGCTATGTAGACCGTCCTTTCAAATGTGGAATTCAACAAGATACCCATGTTGGAGACGAAAGGCACATATTATTTTTGCACGTTGTCATCCTGACACACCGGATTGTCAAGAAATTGAAACCAGCAGTTGATGATAGATTTACATGTTCTCTCACAATTATCGTTTTTGTTCTGAGGAAGTGAACTTTTTGCATGAATGATTTTCCATCGTCAGGTTTTTGTTTATTCTCATTGAAGCAGAATAATGAATTGCAAAGTTGTGTCATATAACTGATTTCAGTTCTGACTTGTCTCCAATATCAGGGGAAAGGAGAGAAGAGAAAGGCTGAAGCTGCTCCAGATCCTCGCAACAAGTCCAAGAAGAAGAAGTAAGCAGATTAATTAGATAAGAATGAAGTACTCAGTTGATAGGGCTTCACTTGTACCACGTAGTCAACTCTTGTTAAACCTTGGGTTTGCTTCAACCTGATTTATATTTACCTGGGCTCCAAATGGACCATTACTGTGAAAAAACTTGGTGTTTGACAGATCAAGTTGTCTTGAATGGGTTCTAAGTCACTGATCTGTTTCAGGTCTGGTTTGAACTGATTCAAGTGAATCAGAATTTAAGGTATAACCTGCTTAAACTTGCTGACACATGATTGGTGATGTTCTAAGTGATTCAAGATGCTGAGATCATTTTGAACTGGTTCAAACCAAATCAGTTTTGGTTGAGCCCTTTAAAATGGCCACTTTTACAAGAAGGTAACTTGAGCACCAGCAGTTGTAATATTTGTGTGAACTGGATGCTGCTGCTTTATAGTGTTAAATTTGGCTCATAATTGTTGTGGCAGATCAGACCTATTTAAAACTGGTGTAAGAAGACCTGCCTGTAGGATTCATTAGTTAGACAGACCTTTTAGTTTAAATGGTGTGAAACTTGAGAAATGTTATGATTGATTGAACTTTTTAAGATTGGAAGCTACAGTTAGTTTGTTACGTAATGTGATTTTAAAACAGAATAAGTGTGTGTCATATCACTGAAAAAGGTCAGTCAACGGATAAATCAAATTTCAAAACTGATTGATTTTACACTGGTGTTGCCAACATACTGACTGTCTGTTATGCTTTTATTTCCTTTGTGTTCAATCATTGTTGCTATGGAAGTGTGAGATGCACAGTGGATTCGATTCCCCTGTGTTATTTATTGAGGATATTCACAGAACACTAATAGGAAAATGATGACATATTTAAGCTGAAAGACCTATTGTATATAAAACCTTAAAAAGGATTTTCATGATACACCACTCCTTATTTAGAGTAAATCCTAGTTTCATCAGTTCCTACCAGCTTTTTTAACATTTAGTTCCCAGTTTTGAAGGTTTGTAATTCCTAAAATCACTTAGAAGAAGCAATTATGTCAATCACCCACACTCCACACTGTTTTAGCCCCTCCCCAATCCAACTCCCTCTGTCCCCCTTCTCAGTATGTAAATAATACATTGTTATGTTCAGTATCTACCCCCTCCCCCCCAAAAAAAAGTAACAGAAAGTTACATAGGAAAGATAAGAGTCTGTAAAATGAAAAGCAGAGTGCTTTTTGTCATTTGGATCGTCTTACTGTTTTTTTTACGTCTTGTGGCATGGTATTCAAGGGACTTGTTCCTGATTGATCCCAGTTATGAACATGTATTAGCAGTCCCTTGTAAAACATCTATTCAGAGAGGTTTCATGTGGGATTAATAGTGTAAGCGCGAGTAATTACCTGTTTAAAAATGGCTCTTTTTCATATCTGGATGCCCTATATATTGTGTATTGACTTTTGTAAGTTGTAGGCTTTAATTTGCTCATAAAATATTTATTTTGCCCTTTTTGCTTGGCTTTTAGAGGTCAGCACAGTATTGTCTGTCTTTCCTGGTTACGAATGACATGAATGCATTCCACATAATTTTTTTATCTCAACATAAGTTTTTGAAAGTGTTGTAAGAAGTTTAACTTTAATATTTCTACTTTCTCCTGATTCAGAAAGTTTTTGAAAGCTTTCAGTTCTCAGATAACCAGACTGATACAAACAAATTTACAGAAACGTAGTGAATATTTGCCTCTTTTCATACTTTTCCCTGGTAAATATTATGAATGCAAGTATACATCAACATGTCAGCTTGATTAACAGTAACATTTGTTTTGCTTAAGTCATTGTAAAATTTAAAAATTGCTTAACAATCACTGTTTGCTACTGAAAAACGCACTGTTTCCGCATAGCTTCAAAAATGCTTTTGTTACCTTGTCACAGTGTATGTGTTACAAGTTGTGATTTTTGCTTTGTGGATTTATTTAGCAATTATGTTATTTGGCCTGCACTTACACCTTTGAAGGGCATAACTTAAGTTGACTCTGTATTTATGCATAATTATGTGCGTTTCATATCTAGTACTAGAAATAAAATACACGTTAACTGTAAACTCGGTTGTCTTTGTATGATTTATTTAGTGAGCATTGTTGCAGCATACGTGAATAAACTCCTTTATATTAAAGTGCTTGGGAATTTTCGGACCAGGACTTGCGTTTCCCTTAAGTATTTGTGCAAGCCCTTGAGGAGGTCACTGATGTTGCCGAATTGCCTTATAGCAAGGGTGGATCTAGGACCACGTTTGGGGTGGTAACAAAATAGGAATGTTTTGTGACATTGATGGCCTTTTTCGAGCGACAGTGCTACATTTGGGGTACATGTATTTGAAAAGTTTCAGTTGGAAGGAAGAGAATTGAAATCAAACCCAAAGTTGCCTTTCTCCGATTTTTTTTAAAATATTTTTTCTTAGTTGCTTTGAGTGGCCATAACCCCTGTTGCCTCCCCCAGATTGGTTCTGCTGTGTTTCAACATTTTATGAACTTTAAATTATGTTTGATTATAGACTGTAGCCTAAGTAAAAGTTGGCGAATAGCCAAGACAAATTCAGTTTCTAATGAATTCTTTGTACATCGAGTTAATTTTGAAGTTACTGATTCTGAAAAAAGGCACCCTCCCCTATTTTCATTGCCCAAATAGCAAAAAACCAGACTGCTGCCAACGTACTTGGCTGTGACTGTTGGGCGCTTTGCACGAAGCCACTGGCTGGCGGCTTCCACTGGTGTGTGTAGTATATGAGCCATAGCCAGGTAATTAGGACAGTCTCCGGCGCACACCGGGGGAATGCGCGCACAAAGACCTAATCATTTGTCGTCTGCCATTCAACTTACCCATTTAAGAGGGTCTAATCCAATCAAATTGACATATTCACGTTTTGTGGTCATACTTCCAACCAATTGTAATAGCCCTTTGCAATTACGTCATGGGCAGAAAGTATAGTGCTTTGTACCTGGTGATGTATCCAATTTTTTATGATAAGCCTATAAAAATTAATTACATTAATCATTTCTTCTTAAATTAAAAAGGACGCAAGTTTTTCTCGATGTTACTTTAAAATAAGGATTTTTAAAATAAAGATTACGAAAAATTATTTCCCGCGGATAAATATAACGGGAGTAGTTGTATCCGGGTGCCCGCGGACATGAATATCGGCGCAAAATGTCTGTTTGTCTTCTTGCCGACGGTCATTAGACAGCCGAAGTTCTGCGTGTAAGGGTCTGTGTGACGTGTTCTTCGTTCATCACACGGGGAGCAATAGTTATAATTACATAATTTCAGCATTTCTGCAAAATTCACTCTGCGCACAACATGAAGGCAGGGAGATATCCACAGTACCAACGAACATGAGAAAACTGTTTCATCATAACAACGCACTGAGCTGGTGTTTTTCCATTAGTTTCGGACGAGGAAACAAACGGGGTCCAATACTCGAGGAGGCTGCATCTCTGCCATGCATCCCCATGTCTGCTTTGTGATTTGCAAGAGTCGAGCTGTAGGCTAAATGAAACAACTCTGAACTTTCGTTAAACATAAGTTAGACCGCAAACCGAACTGTGAGCCTACGAAACTCTTGTGACTGTCGACATGTTGTGGTTATAAGCTCATGTTGTCATGGTTGTCGAATGATCAGAAAGATGATTTTGGACATATTGAGGAGACGTTGAAATTTCAAAGACAAGATATTGGTGAGGTCGTCGTAGGTAAGTCTTTAAGCGACAACGGTAAGGTGAGTGAAAATTTGAGACATAATTCCTGTGAGTGTTTCCTATTTCACGAACGGTTGGTCTTTCTAATTGTTGTAAAATTTAAATAAAAATTCACACCCCAAAAGAAAAAAAACAAAAACAAATAAGCCGCCGTCAGTTTCCCCCACTTGTGCCTTCTGTCAACGATTCAAAATTAATCGTTTAATGCACAGACGAATACACTGTGTAGTGTGTAGGGTAGCATTAGCAATAAATGATTTTGCCGCTTAAGTCGATCCGTATTGATTTTTATTATTTGCACATGAATAACAGGTCAAGTAAATGTCACCTTTTCGCCCAGAGGTGTTGGGTTTTCGCGCTTATTTACAATGTGAATTTCGTCTGCTTCTTTTCGGTAATAGGTTGTACAGTAATTCTTAGTTACTTTTTGCAGGCAGTGAGCCTGAAGTTTCAAGGACCAATTAAATTTCGTCTTGCAGGTGAATTTGCATTTGAATAAAGTCGAACAGTGACAAGTGGACTCACTCGCGTGTCAGTGGGCGTGGTTAGTGCCACTACAGTTACGACAAAGCACCAATGAAATTCGACGGTTGTTATGATTTGCATATGAATATGACGGTCAGTCACTGAGTGCGTGCAGTTGGCTATTATTGTTTTTGTGTGTTGGAAGCACTGAGTGCTGAAGAGCCAAAAAAAATCGGGTAGTTCTGTGATTGCATTAAAAAGACTGCACGTGCCTTAGTGCGTGCTGGAAAAAGTCACTCCTGTTGCAGTGTTTATGTGTGTACACATGTACACAACTGTACATATACATGTACATATTATGTACTTGTCCATGTAAAATATTCCTTGACTGCACAATGTTAATAAATGTTGATGACAAATTTCCTAAAGGACTCTACTTGATCACCATGTTTTTTGTATATGAAAATGGATGCTTGTCATTTCAAGGAGTGACTTAAATTTGCATGAACTAACCAATAGAAGGCCTGAGGCCAAGTCACGTGGCTGAATAATACACTAAGTTGTTCTCGGTTGACATTGTGAGACCTAGAAATACTTTTTCATCTCAATCTAATTTTGGGTGGGTTAAGTGGTGAATTGTTTCATCACGTTATAGACTTAAGCTTTCAGGATTGCTGTGAAAACTTTGATTATTAAAAGCTATAGCTGCTCAGTTATGACATATATTTTGGTTTATCTGTTGTACTGTGCTTGAAATGTACAAATTGACGCAGACGTTGCTTAGCTGAATAATTTGAGGAAGGAAAGGGGACCACAAATCATTATTTTATCAGTCTTTTTCTTGTGTGGCTTTGTTATTGAACATATGTTGTGAAATCTGAAAAATGTTCCGTCTCAGAAAGCTTAAATTTCTTTTCCATAAAATAAACAGTTTGTTATGTGCAAGACATCTAAATATGTTATGGCAAGCATGATGCATTATCAGGCATGTCAGAGCTATAGCAACCACTCGTAATCTGATATTGACCACAAGTCATGTGCTTATTGTAATTACATGCATCATTAATATCTTTACATTAATTTTCTTAAACATTATTAGCAAGTCCAGTTTTCTGAGATTAGCAGTGACATTTTCTTTTGATATTGTATGTTTCACATGTGAAGATGGAAAATTTGACTAAATAGCGTAAATGACTAAATAGTGTAAAAATACTGCATTTCTTCTGTTCCAAGGAAGTGAATTCAGATTAGTTACTGGTGTGAGATGTGACTTGCCACCTGTCACATGCAGTGGAGTTACTACCATGCTAATTTTGATCAAATAACTGTAAACCCAAACAAGTGTAGGTTGATAAAAAAGAACTCTCTTTTTGATCCACTAGCTAAAATTTAAGATGGCAAAAATTGGGCCCCAAACATCGTAATGCTCATGTTTAGAATGAAAAATTTGTTTTCTCTGAATAGAAATGTGGCATACATGGCCACTGTATGAGCTGGATGCTACCACATCAATCTGCCATTAAAAGTTTCATCTATCACTTGTGCACTGGTACAAATTGAAATTTTGGGCACTTTTTTTTCTTGTTTGAATGCATCTCCACTTTCCATCACATAAATTTTGGTTTTATGATTGTAACTCAAATAAGCACATATTGGCAAGGTTACATATTGAATCTTCAGTGCATGTTTTGTCATGTGTAACCTCCAAATTTTTTTTTGCTCTTCTATCTGACTGGAGGTGAAGTTCCCACTGCTAGCCCTAGTGGTGTGATACTGCTTCTTTCCTTTTTTTTTTAAATATTTTGTTTTTTCCCTCTGACTTGAAGGCCCTTGTTTGTGTTTCTTGAGACCATAGAAAATCCTTTTTTGTCCTCCTCTAAAATTTGTGTTTACAAATTCCAAGCACCAACTCATAAAAAATACTCCCCTTGTGTGAGAAAAAATTACAATCACATGTAGGGCCAGTGCTATAGCCTGCGTACCATGTTTTCAGATGGATCGATCGATCGATTTATCTGTTGCTCCAGTATTTCTGATGGATGGTGCAGAAAAAAACAATATGCAGTTGAAACCTTAAATGTAGGAAACATGGCTGGCCCTTGTGTGTTAGCTAGGCTTACAATTTAATCTGAAACTATTTCTACTTTTCATGATTAAGATTAATTCATTAATTGTGGTAAAATAGACTTAGAATAGGAAGTAGAATTATCTCTATAATTCTTTAATATAATACATATCTGTTTTGATTTCAAAGTAATTCTTTGCAGGCCTATATCTAAAGAACTATTTGTCTGACCAAGTTGAAACGTGGTACAAATACAAACCATGGCATGTTATAGATAAAAATGGGAGTGATGATGTCATAACCTGATTTTTAATGAATTTTCAAATTTTCACTTGTTCATATATTAAAGATTCATTTTTGCCATTTTGTAGTTTTTGTACCTATATGTATAAAGTCTTTGGCAATTTCATCCATCTGATTGACAACTCTTGGCACAAACTTAGACCATCATCCAGATCATTGTAACATTATCTTGTGTCACATGACAACGCATTAAAGGTGCATTTATCAAAGACCTTTAACCAAAGAAATAAAGGTCGGATTAAATTCGAATTTGGCATGCACCTAGAAGAGAATGTATTAAAAATGAAATAGGCACATGTCACATGATGTCATGTGAAGGGTATTTCTCAAGCCTACATACAGATCCGATGAGAATCAAATTTGAAATCCAACCAGAGAGTAATGTATTTTGACAGATGAAAATTGACGTCACATTAAGATGACATTGTCACATATTATGTGATGTTATGTTGAAGGCGTAGTTTTGATATGTACATGTATCTGCGGGATCAATTCACAAATAACTTTTATGAGGTG